ACTTTGATGAGAAGGAAGAGGAGGGCAGGTGACTTCTCACAGAGAATGTGTACTGTTTAATGCCTTTTAAGCTGAAGATGTTTCCATGTTCTCCCCAGCAAATGCCGTTTCTTTGAGAAAAATTATAATATGGACCGTTGGGCACAGAACTATATGGGAAGGACAGGCCTCATTTTTTTACGGCAAGCTGTGAAATCACCCTTAATCCAAATGCAGATGTTGAATCATTCCAGTTTGGAAATACAGACTGCTGTTTAAGCTAAAATTGGTCTCTGAATCTTTTAGAAATCTTTCAGAGGAGAATGTGGAACTTGACCAGAGAGAATGCTCTGTCACGGATGACTGAATGGGGGCCGCTACTCCTTGCAAGAGGGCCAGGTGGAGGCCTTACTGGAGATTGGGGAATTCACTTGTTGAAGCTGAGGGGAGACAAACTAAAGGTGCTCTTAGGTGAGAGACCTTGTAAGATGAGGTTAAGCTGTTGTGTTCTCGGAAACAAAGTGAAAGAAAAAGAAAGAAGCACAGCCCTGTGCAGTCTCTCTGAAATCACAGGAGTGCTGGTTTCAGGAATACCAAGAAACAGCCTGTTGAGTAGAAGTCCTCAAACACTATGGAAGTGAGGTTTCTCTGTGGGGCTGGGGCTAGAACTGGAAAAGAAGGATAGAACCCAGCTGACATGATCAAAGGAAGGGATGGAGGCTTAAGCTCTTAAGCAGATCTAGATCTTCAGGACATCAAAGAAATAATTTGGAACTTTTTTTTCTTCCCCTCTGAGCATACGGAGGACTGGATGACAGGCACAACACTAGAAGGGGTTTCGAGCTGTCATTTGATATGACAATGTCAGAGTGACTATCAGTGTCCCAGGATCATGAGTAGTGTACACAGTGCTTGAGCAGCTGGACAATAAGGATCAGGCAAAGAGAGTCCTTTCTTTCTGCCTGGGTCTGCAGATAGAGAGAGCTAGATAACCTGAGAGTTAAGGAAAAACCCAGGTGATCTGTGACTCATTTTTACTCTTTCTAAATCCACAATGTAATTTCAGTTTCAATTTAAAAATTCACAATTACCTATTGTACCTTCACCTCGATGACAGCAGCATTTTTCTTCCGGCAAGTTATTTCCAAGCATTATTTTGAAAGAGGAGTTAATTACATACTTAAAGTTCAGCAAGAGTGAGCTCTGGAGATAGCAGGGTTAGCTGGGAGATCTTTTATACACTCAAGGAATAAACAAACTAAAATTGCTTGGTGAAACAAGAAAAAAATCTCCTTATAGGGGTATTGCTTTTATGTGCTATGCTCCACATTTTTTCCTAACAAAACATCTAAACAAATAATAACAGAAGATTTCTATTTCTCCCTCTGCAGGAAGAATGCCCGAGGAGTCTACTGCGCTAGTTAATATGATTGCATGCTGAATGCCCTAAATTCTCCTCTGCGAATACCTGCAGATGGTTCAATTATTGGGTAAGACTTTCTACAACAAATCCCTGAGAAATAGAATACATAAAGAGAGAAGATCACTCACAACGTGCATGGAATGTAGCCTCCTGGGATGATTTCTTTATCTTTCAGCATCTTAACTGCTTTAGTTATATAGTCCTGATGCATCTGGAGAGAGCAGGATAAATCCCCACAGTGGGGCTTGGTAACACCCTTCTGGAGGTTTTTGTGCAGTGTGTTTAGACAATGCATGGCCACTAGATGGGGCCGATAACTTTACAACCTAGTAGAAGGGGAAATTGCTTTTTCTTTATAGGCAAGTTTACACGAGTACCTTGTAGGAAACCAGTCAATTATAGGGACTATAAATATATTGACTCAGGCATTTATCACTAGTGGTGTCTTGGGAAGTGCTCTTTATGTAAGTATTTGATGGTCAAATATGTTTGCAAAAATCATATATTTTATCTTCCTCTAAAGAGATTCCTAATACATATTGGTAAACAGATGTTTCTGAGAAGTTCTTCAGTGAAGAAATCTAATACCAGGAAACCCTGCCACTCTGTAGTGACCTAGTACAACTGCGTTGTTCCAGTGTCTTGTGAAACACATTTTGGGAAATGCTTACCTGATCCAAGTGATCACAAAGGAGTCGCTCCAAATTTCTAAAATGGTCTTTGTTAGACATGTTCAATAGACACACACTTTACAAAATAGCAGGCATGTTCTTAGGTTAGTAATAAAAGCAGCACCTATGGGGTATTTACAAACGACACACTCTTGTCTCCTCTCTTTCCATAGCGTGCAATCTATATGTCTATGTCTATGCCAGATCTATATCTATATCATACATGCATTCACACACATATTTGACCTCTTGATACATCAGTTTTTTAGGTCGTGAACATTTTGAGGATATTTATTTCATTCATCTTTGAGATTTTAAGTCCTGATACAAAAACTGGCACAAAGTAAACTTTTGCTAAATAAATTATCTAGGGAGATTCTTATTCTGGAAATAAGAATGGGCACTTGGGGCCTCCCTGGTGGTGCAAGGGGTTAAGCACCACACTATGAAGCAAACTGCAGCCTCTGCAGCACAAGTTCTATCCCCAGCGGTCCATCCAGGGAACAACTCACATGGCGCAGCAGACCTCTCCTGCCTCGCCCGCTGCTCCCCTCAGCAGTGTATTTCAGTCAGTCTACTTATTCTCTTCCCCACTCTGTCTCTGGTGAATCCTCTTACCGCCCGCACCTCTGGCCTGAACTCCCGTCTTGTATGCATAAATAAATAAATCTTAAAAAAATGGGCACTTGTACCTGATTTAAAAGGTAATCATCTATTAGAAAAGTCTCTTCTTTAAGACAACCAACCGAGAGCAAAGATGTAAGTTCTAGCTCTCTTCCCCGAGGGTCCTGTTTTTCTTCTCTGAATTTATTACATTACTACTAGCCTAACTTATATTTCAAATTAATTTTATATAACCCAGTAATATATACCGAATGTTTATTTAACTCTCAATTGCTATGTAATCTGTTCTTCTGTTTTCCAGTAATGTGTATCTTGCTCTAGATGTAACATTTTATTTTCCACAGTCTATTGTCAATAATTCAATTTTGCCATTTTCCTTTCCATCTTGTAATGCTTGAACTTCTTTAGGCCGTTTATTCTTTACTCTCAATAACCTCAAACACCACGGCTTGAAACTAGTCATTTTCTAGCCACACATTAAATAAATTGTATAAGTTAAAATGGAGCGATGATTCCTTTTCTCTCTCAACTGCAGAAAGTAGATACTTTTACCACTGAATTATCCTTACAAATATTATATGAAAAATATGATTGTTGAACTTCAGAGACTGATGTTATGTTCTGTGAATTTTATTCATGAAGAGATTGTAATTAAGGTGTATTCGATGTAATCTCTGAGCTACTCCTGGACCACCTCAGACCATAACCACACAATCACATTAATGGCTACATAGGCATCTCTAGGCCTGCCTTGTGACGCAGGCCTCTGCAGCGCGGGTTTGATCCCTGCCGGCCAGGAGAGAATCTCATATGGCGGCAGACCTCTCCTGCCGCGCCCGCTGCTCCCCTCAGCAGTGTATTTCAGTCAGTCTGCTTGTTCTGTTTCCCGCTCTGTGTCTGGTGATTCCTCTGATCCCCAACACCTCTGACCTGTACTCCAGTTCTTGTATGTATGAATAAATAAATCTTTTTTTAAAAAAAACAAATAAGTGGAGGAGGGAGTAGAAGGACTGAATTTCAGCTCTTGTGTGGTAGAACAAGGTCCTGGCATGGGGTCTTACCTATTTTCTCCCTTACCCGATCCTCCTCACACCTGCTAGCTGATGAGTGGTCAGAAGCCTGCATGTTTGAGAGAACCACAGGTGCACCCAGGCAAGACAATGCATGCAGACCACTGGACCCTCTACTCAGGCCCATCAGGCTTGTACGCTATATAGGTAGATCATGCATATGAGTGTGCACGGTCTTTGTATGGAGGACCAAGACATAGGTCATTTGGAAATTCTACCTATAAATTATAACTATAAAACAAAAACAAATTTTTTCTAAGTGTGCAAGAAAGCCACAAACTAAGTGCTTCACTGAGTTATAAACTATAACCTCACCCAGAATAACTGGACTCCTTATGTAACTTCCCATTATTATTTGATTGATGACCAAAATGTTATATAGGCGTGGATACTCATGGCGAATTTAGCCGCCTATTATGGAATATACATCAGGGGTTGGAGTGATATAGTGCAATGAAGCAGTCAATAAATACTTGAATAAAGGAAATTAGTGAATGGAGCAGAAAAGGAAAGCTGGAAGGAAGGGAAAGGAGGAAGAAAGAATAGAGAGGCAGGAGAGAGAGAGAGTAAGTGTCATGGACATTAACCTTGAATATTTGAATCTCAGCTCGACTCTCTAGCTAGGTAAACTTTGTCAAATTACTAAACCTCTCTGAAACTTACTCTCTTCATCCGAACATGGGGCCATATCTTTCAGGGTGATTGTGAGAATTAAAAATTAGTTTGAGGAAATGTTTTTTAAAAGGTTTTAAAAACTTTTTGTTGCTAGTTTTTACATCTAGGCGAATGTTGCCGCTGCTACCATTTACCTATATTGCCAAACCGTATACAGCTTAGTTTATGCATTTTCTTACCTCATTCTCTGCAACAACCTTATATTATGAAGGGGTAGCTTTTACACTACAGTCATGGCTCTGGGAAAAAAATCTGCATTAAAAAGGCAATATGTCTTAAAACATCATGTCTGTCCATGTTCCACAGGATGCAAGTATGTCTTCTGAAATATTTAAATGAAAACACTGGCACCTTAACTTCTATCTGAGGGAAGGAAGTACTAACTACTAAGTACTAAGTACTGAACACCACTTAACCTGCAACACACACCTGAAGTCCTAATGCTCTCTTCATTCTTCCTTTGAAATTGAAATGTTTCTAGAGTCGTAATTAAAAGCGATGGATTTTCTCAAATATCGTTAGACATGGAGAGAATGAAGATTAAAGAGAAATACTCACAGATAGGATCTGGTCTCCCCTCTGGAGCTCTCCACTAAGGTCTGCTGGTCCACCAGCCAGAATGAAGGATACAAAAATACCTTCTCCGTCTTCTCCCCCGACGATGTTGAAGCCTAGGCCAGTGGAGCCTTTGTGCAGGACCACCTTGCGGGGCTCCCTGCAGAAACAAGTGGAGAACATAGTTCACAGGGTGATCCATTTAGATTTAGGTTGCTTTTATTTTCATTGGGATATATGATAGCAGCATTTTCACTACCTGTGAAAATGGCTTCCCAAAGTAAGATACATTTGTGCATCAAGAGCAATGCTAATATCAGGACTCATGTCTGAATTCTTTACTGTAATAAATGCCAAAATACCATACACAGTCATTCCTTAATTATGAAACATTTTCTTAAACTTAACTTATTTCCACATTTCCTGTTTAAAATATATGTTCTTATATTTTTAAATTGAGATAAAATTAACATATGGTATTATGTAACTTTCAAGTGCACAACATGATTCTATATTTTTATATATTGTGAAATGATCACCATGAGTCTAGTTACCATTCCTCGCAAAGTTTACACATTTTTTTCCTTGTGAAGAGAACTTTTACTTTTAAGATCTACTCTCTTAACTTTCAAATATACAATACAGTATTATTAACCATAGTCACCACACAGCACATTCCATCCTGGGATTTATTTTATTTTATTTTTTTTAAAGATTTATTTTTTATTTATACAAGTGCTGGGGTACAGGCCAGATGTGTGGGAGAGGATTCACCAGAGGATGTGAGAGGATTCACCAGAGACAGAGTGGGGAGCAGAACAGGCAGACTGACTGAAACACACTGCTGAGGGGAGCAGCGGGCGAGACAGGAGAGGTCTGCTTCGCCATGTGGGATTCTCGCCGGCCGGCCGGGATTGAACCCATGCTGCAGAGGCTGCGGACAGCTTCACAGTGTGGAGCTCAACCGCCTGCACCACCAGGGGAGGCCCCCAGGGTTTATTTTATGACTTCTAGTTATAGTTTTTGATCACCCACCTCATTCATTTCTCCCTTCCCCACCTCCCATGTGTTCTGTATTGATAGTATTGCAGTGATATCGGCAGGAATACTGTAAGCAAAAGTAGAGAATTTCGGGAACAAGAGACTAGTATGGACAGGCCACATCATGAAAGACTTTACATGCTTTTGCTTGTTCGATTATTAAATTAAAATGTACTCTGTAGGCAGTGGGAACTCATGGGAAGGTTTTGAAATGCCAAGAATATTTAAATCATTTTAGGAAGATCAACAAATGGTCTGAGACAGGCTTGTTGGAGAGGAAGTGTAAGCATGATGAGAAACAGGAAAATCATGATGTTGATCAAGTAACCCATGTTTATTTATTTTTTTAAAAAAGTCTAGGATTTAGTCTTTTTTCTTTTTTTTTTTTTAAAGATTGATTTATTCATGCATACAAGAAGTGGGTGTAAGCCAGAGGTATGGGAGGTGAGAGGACTCACCAGAGACAGAGCAGGGAGCAGAACAGACAGATATACTGAAATACACTGCTGAGGGGAGCAGCGGGCGAGACAGGAGAGGTCTGCTACATCATGTGGGTTGCTTCCTGGCCGGCCGGGGATGGAACTCGAACTGCAGTGGCTGGCAGTAGCTTGATAGTGCTGTCTTTAACTCCTGCGCCACCAGGGAGGCCCAAGTAACCCATGTTTAAAGCAGAGGGGAGGAAGACTATCTAAGTAACTGGAAAATGATAGGGGAAATGTAACCCAGTGGAATCATCTACCAGGATGAGTGTGATTTTGACATGCTCCACTCCAGATAGTGGTGAGACATCCACGTGGAGCTGTTTAAAAGCCGTCAGCAACTACTAATTGTACTAGAATTCTAGTACTTAGACAGGATTGAAATTACATATTTGGGGATCATCAGCAAAAATGAGAGGCCAAATTTTGATCAAACAGTTGAGCTTGTGTAGACTCCAGGAAATTATGGAATGTAGAATGGTAAGAGATCTTAAAAGGCATCAAGTTTAATTTTTATATGAATAGTTTTAAAAAATGTATTCTGTAGGCCTTCCTTAGTTTTGAACAAGATATCGTTTGCTCACCTTCCATTTTCTCCCAAATATATCAGTTCCAATAATTAAAGTTCCTTTTCTGTTTTCCAGATTTTAATGCTGTATGCATGGCAAGGAGCCATGGATAAAGAATTTTATTTGGCATCCCATTTTCCTTCATAAAGCATTGTATTGAATCTATCATTAGTTTTATTATGATAAAGTGTTTAAGTTGCATGTCATAGCTTAGACTATAAATAACATGTGACAGTGTGACGTATTAAGTCAGAGGCGCTTTGTAAACACCTATTCTTCCAGGTGCTCAGAAAGTTTGTAAGCAAAACAAGTATCTCTGTCTTTATGGACTTATAGTCCAATGCAAGTAGAACATTAGTAAACAAAAATGAAATGAATAAGTTTGCTGTTTAGTACGTTGGAAGGCATTGAATGCTTTGGAGAAAAAGATAAAACAGAGCAGCATAAGAGGGACAAGGACGGTAAGAATGAATATGGGGAGGATTCATTGAGGTGATATTTAAGAAAAGACCGATGAGGTAAGGAAACTAACCACACATATAGCTAAAGAAAGAGAATTCCAGCCAACAGGAGCTACCAGTGCAGAGACCCTAACGTAGAAATGTGCTGGGAGTTGTCATGGAAGAGCTCGGAGGCCAGTGTGTCTTAATTATGAGAAAGAAAGGAAAATGGAAAAAAGATAAAGAAGTCAGTGTTTCAGTTTTCTATTGCTAAGTAACAAATTACCACAAATTTAGTAACCAAGAAAACGCTCATCATTATCTCAGAGTTCCATAGGTCCTAAGTCTGGGTAGGTTTGTCTATGTTGCTGCTTGTATTCCACAAGCCTATAATCAATGTGCTGGTAGGCTGAGCTTTATTGGGAAGGTCTGGGATAAATCAGCTTCTGAGTTCATTGAGGTTATTGGTAGAATTCAGTTTCTTGTGATTGTAGGACCATTATTAGACAGGATATTTCAGAGAAATAGAATCGATAATATGTATGAGACATATATAATACATATGTAGGTATTTATAAAGATATTTATTATAAGAAACTGGCCCACACTATTACAGATGCCAAAAAATCCCAGGATGACAGTACGCTGATGGTCCAGGACTGTCGATAGTCCAAAGGCCTGAGAACCAGGAGACCCAATGGCGGAAGTTCCAGTCCATGTCTGAATCTGACGGAAGATGACCAATGTCCCAGCTCAAAGACAGAGAAAGACAATACTCTCCTTATGGGCCTACTGATGCCAATAGGGGAGAGAAAGTAGGGTGCTGATTAGAAGCACACCAAAACACCTTATTTTTTGCCTTAAGTTGTGTATCCCACTTGGCCCTGCTGATACTGCTGGACAAAGTGGTCTGCCAACCAGCTCCGTTTCCCTCTTTCCCCTTTTACCTCGCTGCCATGGGGATAGAAGTTTATATACTCACTGGTTCCATCCATACTAGGAGTAGGGGAATGGAATACTAACCAGCACTACCTCATTTCAGCGTGTTATTGCAAGGAGTAGGTGCTCATTTATCTCCCTGGAAAGTGGAGTGTCAGCTGTTACCAAAACATACCAACCTTGTCCTGCTGGATGGGGTGGAAGTTCAGGACCTGTTGGACCCAACACAAACTCAATAGTGGAGAAAATGAAGAGTCACCTCATAACTGCCATTCCTGCCTCCCCTGGGGGCATCAGGAGGTACAGATATGCATAGTCCACTGGACCACATGGGTGAAGGCACAGTTTTCCTTTGATGGTTTGATTGAAATAGAGTCATTATTTTCAAAAGCGTCTCTGTTCTAGTAGCCTCCTCTTTTTTTGCAGTATTTTGATTATAAGACTTTTCCTAAGGTGCTTTATTTATTTATTTTTGTCTTTGCCTATTGGTTGCTCTGTTACTGGAACCAGAAGTCCAGTGTGTGTGTGTATATATATATATACATATATATATATTCATTTATTTATGCATATAAGAACTGGGGTATAACCCGGAGATGTGGGGGGTGAGAGGATTCACCAGAGACAGAGTGGGGAGCAGAACAGGCAGATGTACTGAAACACTCTGCTGAGGGGAGCAGAGGGTGAGACAGAAGAGGTCTGCTGAGCCAAGAGGTCTACTGCGCCCTGGGAGGCTGGGGACTGAACTAGTGCTGTCGTGGCTGGCAGTAGCTTGATAGCACTGTCTTTAACCCCTTCACCACCAGGGAGGCCCCTGGATATATTTTGAAGGGAGGGGCTCAGTGGATTTTGACAACAAATTTAACATGGAAATTTCTGTCTTTCACAAATATAAGCATACCTACTCTTAGTGGGTCCAATAGCATTCGAAGTATACATAGTAAAAATAGATCCAGTTTATGTATAGATACTGTGTTTGATACTTTATGTGCATAATCCATTTATATCTCAAAATAATCCAATGAAGCATGTATACTGATGGTTGCAAGTATTTTGAAACTGATCCAAAAAATGACAAGGATTTATGGCCTGATAAATGAGCCCATTGTAAATTAAATACAGCAAAATGGTAAAAGTGGAATCCAGGTGGTGAGTAATGGCTATTTATCATTAAATTCTTTAAATTTTTGGTTTGAAAATTTTTGTAACACAATCGTGAGAAACATAAAAAACTTGATAAAGAACTTACTGTGATAATTTCTTACATCAGTGAAAGGAGACTGCTTGTTCAAGTCTTTATAAGTAAGTAGTCTGATGGGATTAGAACTAGATATTCTGATGCAGAATCCCAGAGTCTACAGTAAAATGTATTTCAGAGATTGCAAATCAACAAGTAATAACTTAATTTGACCCACAGTGTTTACAAATTTTCATATCAGTTGTTCATGTTTAAATTTAGGGAAAATTTTCATGAACCATGGTATTATTTACTTTGCATTAAAAAAAATCAAGTATGCTTTTATGAAGACTGACTCTCAATCTTTTTGAATAGAATCAATTAGTTAGCACTGTCCTCTTTAGTTACTGCGCTCATTCTCCAGTTTACAGTCTCACTTGTCCCATGTTTCTCAAATGAACAAAATGTGTTCATGTCTTGCAAAGTTAAGTGTCCCGACCCGCGGGATTCAAAGG